GTCGACTCGATCTTGTCGTCTATCGCACCGAGGAAGCAATCACGCCAGGTGATTTCAGCGGTGATACCTACGGTTGAACAAGGCGAAGAGCTGTTAGTTGTGAATTTCGATGGATCATGGAACTTAGTTTTAGGGACTCTTTGAGTTGTACGTCTTCCCCTGGCGCTTAGCTACGGCAGCCCCGCTGCATATGTCGTGCAGATACATTTGGCGTGGTGTTGATTCGTTTGAAAATCCGAGTATTCGGGCCAAATTCACGCACGAGTACGCGGCTAAATCGGCAGCAGATCCTACGCAGCCGTCGGCATGAGCATGTCGCTGGAATCGCACCGCCAGTTCGCCGAAGTCTCGCCTGCGAGTGGTAGGCAGAGTTCAGCGGGCGGCCCCTTTCTTTTTGACCACGGGCAATCTTGCACCCGATCTCACGCGCACACCGCTCGAATAGATTGTCGGTAGGTAGTTGTGTGTCGAAGGGGATGTGAGTAAAGAGCCAATCAAAGACGATCTCGTCAAGGCAACGACATTTTCGTCTCACATTGGCTGACGTGTTCCCATAACCTGTTTCCCATAACGCAGAATCGCCAACTGTGCCCTCTATCATATCAGTATTATTATCAAAAGTAGCGCTTACTACCATTTACGTTGAGATTACTACTACTATTACTATTGTGATAGTGCTCTTATATCTGAAATACAAGTAAGAAGCAGCTTTTTTGAATCAGGTGGTATTTAAATGTAGGGAAACTCAGATCCGGTCTGATTCGGTTGATTCTATACAGAACATTAGGAATCAGCCGAATCAGACCGGATCTGAGTTTCCCTACATTTAAATAGCAAACATGCTCTTCAACGGATGGAATCAGAGCATAGATTTCTTACCTCTTAAACAGTAAAACGGTATCCGACAATTGCGTATGAATTCAATTGTCGGATACTGTATGACACAGTCTGTATCGTCTTCATCAACTAAGCGATTGAGCTACGCAGTGATGATGGTACCGCTTCTCGCTGTGTATCGTGGCCTGTGGAAGGCGTTTATGCCTATGATGTCTTGGTATGTGCGTCGGAAGGACTTGCGACGGCTTGTACCAAGCACCATCACCGCCGAGCGCTTCGGTCGCAGTGAGCCACCAGGTTAAAGGACAGCTTTTCTGTCCAGTGGATTTATTAAAGCAACACTAATTCTCACTATATTGCCTCTCTATCGCAGCCCATTGGTGCAACGGCAGTGGCAACGCAGGCTTCACTGTGTGGATCCATGGCGCCTCGGTGGGGGAGTGTCTGTCAGTGTTGCCGCTCGTGGACTTGGCATTGAGCCACAAACTGGACGAAACATTGGCACAGTCGATGGGTGGGGAGAAAAGGAAGGTGCGGGTGGTTTTGTCAACGACTACAACTGCAGCACGCCAAGTTATCGCGGAACGGTTGAAAGACGTGAGTTCAGTGTGATGATTGTTCACCCAGGACATCAACTTTGACGTTTAAACTGATGACAGAATGATGACGCCGTTTGCGTCTTGGCTCCTCTCGATCACCAGCAGTACGTTGGGCGATTTTATGATGCCTGGCAACCAGAGTACGTTCAATATGTTATTTTATATTCACGAGGCATATTTCATGTTGTTAACGCGACTTCACTTGGGTAATGAAGTGTCGGAATCTGGATTGAGTCCGAGATTTGGCCGACGTTGATCACGGAAGCTGCGCGAAGAGGCATTCGCATTGGTCTTCTAAACGGTCGGGTGTCTGCTATATCATTCCGTTTGTGGCGACTGCCGGGGCTGCATGCGTTTTCGAAGAGCATCGTGGGTTTATTCTCATTGGTACTTTGCCAAGACGAGCAGGTAAGCATTCGTCCGGGTCACTAGCAGTTTGATTCCCTTTCATATTCTGACTTCACCATGCTCTTAATCTGCAGAATCGAAGACGTTTTGAACACCTTGGCGCACGGAATGCCCACGCCGCACTAAATCTCAAGTTCGGTACGAGTTCTTGAGAGTTTAGGGAGGTGAATCTTGTCTGATACCATCTACTTTAGCATCTCCACGTTTGATTGGCAGCGAGAATGAGATATCTGCATTACGATGCGCGATTGGGTCCCGACCCGCGTGGGTTGCAGCTAGTACGCACGACGGCGAGGAAGTGATGATGGCGCAAGTCCATGACGACCTGCTAAAGTGTCTCCGATATGATCGGCAATTACTCACGGTGATCATTCCGCGTCATCCAATTCGGACGTCGAATATTGTGAAACAAATCCATCGACAGGTGATTACGTGTTAGTTTTCTTGCTCCAAATTCCTTGTTCACAACGTTCTGATGTGTTGGTTTTGACAGTTTCCCGAGCTTTCAGTTGGTTTGCGCTCTCGTGATGGCTTGCCGACTAACGCTATAGACGTTTTCATAGTTGACACGATGGTAACGTGTGCCCTTGTCCTCGTTAGTACGTCGTACGAGTATGAAATGTGAGTATCTTATGTTTGACTGATGCTTGTCCAGGGTGAAACAAACTTGTTTTATGACACCATTTCAACTGCAGTCATTGGAGGTGAGTGAGGCCTGCACGTTGACTCGATACTGGGCGATCTCCCTTTCCTGACGAAAATTAATCTTCAGGCTCCTTCGTCAAGCGCGGCGGGCACAACCCAATCGAACCATTGCGAGCAGGGTATGTGCAAAACCCAGTAGAATGTTTCATCATGGTAGACTGATTCATTGATTCATTTGCGATTTTCCAATAGTTGCCACGTTTTCACCGGCCCTCACATGGACAACTTTGCGGATATTTTCCAGCAACTTAATCAGCAGTCCTCAGTGTCAGAAGCTCTTCGATCGGTGAAGGACCCACAAGAGCTGGTTACAGCATTGGAATCTCGCCTCAAGTTCCTTCAAGACACTTCTAGTGATGTTTCCACTCCAGCACCGGTCGACAAAAGAAATCAATTAACGCGGACGATGGCGGACCTTGCAGTATCGACGCTTTCGCTGCACGAGCAACGATTGATCACTTGGTTAGCTAGTGATGCCCACCCCGTAAACAAACCGTAAACACCGTAAAAAGAAAACGACAGTATACCCTATTTTACGGCATATTCAGAGTACATGGCTACATTTCCACCTTGAAGCGGCGTTAATCCGCCATGGTGGACGCCGAGAATGCTGAATGGCTTGGTGTCATAGAACGGCAACAGCAGGAGATCGAGCTACTGCGACAAGAACTGGCTGCCGTAACAAGCCGCGATGGCGCTTGTTCTTCATTAGAACGTTGCGGTAGTGACGCCAGCCTCGCGAGTAGCGTAGCATCATTGGCTTTTTCGGTCTTGTCCATGCGAGACAACGGCTCAGAGCTGCCTATGGACAGCGAGCGATACGCCAAGATCTGCGAGAAGATGGAGCGTATGCGAGCGGCGTTGGCCAAGAAAGACGCTAAACTACGGAAGGCTCGAGCTCAGTGTAGTGAGGACCAGAAGGAGGCTGCACGGCTTAGAGACGCTATGGCGACGCTGAGATCAGAAATGGACACGTTCTGTGCACAGCATGCACGTGAACACGCTGCGTCTCAAGTCGCCGTTAACGAAGCGGTTGAGAAGGCGGCACAAGCTCTCATGAAGAGCGACTTACTAAGTGCTGAGCTTATTAAATTACGAGAAGGTGAAGCAGCACTGCGTGAAGACATTCGCATACATAGCAAGGCTGCGAAAGCTGCTGACATCGTACGAGAGAAACTGCAACAAGAACTTGATCAAACGCGTCATCTAGCGGCAGATGCACAGAGCGAAAAGACCGCTTTACAGGACAGTCTTATCCAACAAGAGCGAAAGAGCGACTCTGAGTGGAATAACTTAAGAACTCAAATGCTGCAACAGCGCGTAAATGATCTTGAGGCCACTGCTCAGCAGCAAAGTATACAACTTAACCAACAGACTAGACTGATCGATCAGCAAAACCAACAGATCCAGCAGTTCAAGGAACGGCAATTTGCGGCAGAACGAGCATTTACGGCAGAACACGCTGAGAATCAGAGGCATGCGGCACATTTATTGAAAAGTAATATCATGCTGCAACAAGACCTGGAGCATGAACAAGCGAGATGCCAAAAGCTTCATCAACAAGTCCAACAACAGTTCGAGACGTCTCAGATGCTCGTCGAAGACTTGCTCCAGTCCAAGCTTAAAGTCACGAAAAGAGATCAATTGTTGCATCAACGCGGTGAAAAGTACTGCGAGCTTCTCGATGAATATCGAGTCTTAACACGACACACGCAAGCATTGGAGCTGTCGGAACGTGAGCTTGTTTCAGTGCTCATTCCAACCAAGAAGCGGCTCGCACTTCTTCAGGACACGTTGACGCGGTTCTGCTACGAGCTGGAGGGCGTCACCAAGCAAATGGTGACCAGCCGGAATCGGTCAGTGACGATAACTACTTGAGGTTTTGAATCGACAGCTAACGGTGACTTCAGTGAGGTTTCACTGGGACGGGCGTTGCGGGAGTATGGAAAGCGCAACCGAGAGCTCCAAGCGAGCGTAGTTATTGCCCGACAACAGGTGTGATACTCTTCGCAGTCCTGTTCACAGTGACAAATTTGTGGGGTTAACCTTTGTGCAGTTTTATTCCATTGTGAGCGCTTTCCGTAGTAGTGAGAAGCGCAAGAAGCAGGCGATCTCTACCAACTGGAACCTCAAACGCGATCTGGTGGTCGAACGTTGTCAACGCACAGAGTACGGTGACATTTACCTGCATGGTTGTCTAGTTTAGAACCGCTCAACGTGCCTGATGCTTGATCTTTGTGTTTGTTATACAGTTTGGTTCGGCAATGCAAAGAGTTGGAGACTTGTCTGGATTCGTGCCAGACTTCGGCGGCTGAGACCCAAGCGCGCGCTGAAGTACTTGAAAAGGATAACGGTATCCTGCAGCACGCTGTCACACAGCTGGTAGCCTACGCCAAAGAGCTCAGTGATTCGCAACAATCGCTTCAGCGAGAACTCACCTTCCTCGAAATCACTGGCAGACGACACCCTGCAGTATATGGCTGACAAATAACGCTGATAAATAGCGTTTTGATTAAATTGAAGAAAAAAGACTGTCACTATAGTCTGATCAATCTAGACGCTCTCCATGACGATATTGGGCGGGTTCGCGGTGCCTCCCTTCATGAGCCGGATCGAGTGCTGCAGATTACGCAGCCAGTCGATAAGCCCTTTCATCACCAGATTCCTCTCGTACACCTCCTGCAACATACAATATATTACCAGTTGCACGGCACCACCTCAAGTAAATTACTGCGATCGCCTCACCTTGCGCAGCTGATTTCTCCTCGCCACCAGCTTCGCCATCGTGTCCTGCAGCAACATCACCAATTGTCAGTCTGAAAACCGCCAAGCGTTATGCTGTTTCTGTCACCTTATCGTCCTGCGGCGGCGTCTTCTTGGCCTCCACCTCCTTGACAGCTTCCAGCAACTCGGCGCTGATCTTGATGTACTGAGCTTTGAGCGCCGCAATTTTTGTGTACGTGTCCTGGATCTCCTCGGGCGAGTACGGGAGCACTATGGGGTGACCCTGATTGCCTGTTTGCGTGTGCGCGGCACCTGCGAAGCCCGCGGCCAGCCCATTGACGTCCGGATGCGTCTCATCTTGCGGTGTATCGGCCTCAGTGGGGGAGCGTGGGGGTGAGCCCGGAGCAGGCGCGTCGAGTGCGAACAGCTTGGAGCTAGGACGAAGCGGAGGCCTCAGGTTCATGTACTTAGTCTCCTCCAGCACATGATACGCGATGGCCAGCAAGTGCGACAGCATGTGCTGCCCATTCTTGGTCGGTGCAGGTTGCTCCATCAGCGCGGGCAAAGTTTGTATGAAAATGTGATGGAAAGAATATACCAATTATTGCTCGTTCTAGTGTGGTACATATATTAGGTAAACCACATGATGTTGAAGGGCCGTTTTCATAACGGCTACAAGCCACTCTCAGTTTGGAGCTCTTGAGCACAATGACGATAGAGTCGACGGCTGCGTCCTCTTCCAAGGCGCACGCAGACCCGTCGGCAGAGGCGAGTGACCGAGAGGCTCGTGTGAATGTGCGTCGACAGCGCATTGAAGCACGCAACGCTTCCAAAGATGACGCCTCGCGCAAGAAGCAGCTTCAGGTGGGCGAGTCGCAGCGCATGAGTCGTGGTCAACAGCAGGTGGCAGACAGTCTGAACCAGCTCGACCGTCGCAAATTGGCAGGTATCCGCCATGTCACGAGCGTCCGCGTGGAAGCAGATGACGCCGAGAATCGACGTCGCGTCGAGGAAGAAGAGCGACGTCATAAGCGCGTCGAGAAGCTTCAGCAAGAAGCTATCGACAGCGGCGCCAAGAACGCTGCGGTTGAGATGCGATGGGCAGATCTGTTCGAGTTCAGCATGCCACAGGAGCTTCATAATGAGCTGGAGCTGCAGAATCGCGCGTGTGCAGAGATCTTGGCATCGAAAGATGCAGTCATCCGTGAGTTCCAGAACCAGTTGAAGGCCAAGGATGAAGAGTACGTGACGGCACTTAAGATCCAGGCAGAAGAAGTCGAAAAACTGGTCGACCGCATGAGTCAACAGTATCGAGAGATGCAGGACGAGTACGAACTCGAGCTCGAGCAGATGGAAGATGCTTTTATGAAAGAGCGCGATGAACTCATCGCAAACAACAAGCTTGAGATTGACTCGCTATTCGAGCGTCGACGAGAGATGGAGATGGTCTATATGGAGGCCAAGCAAACACGAGACGAGCAGTACTTACAGGAGATCGAAGATTTGCGAGTGCGAGATGCGGAGGACTACAACGAGCTCAAAATCAAGCTGGAGACCAACATCCAGACGCTCGAGCAGCAGCTTGAAGAGATGCGTGCAACGTACCAACTCAACACAGAGAAGCTGGAGTACAATTACCGAGTTCTCACGGAGCGGGATATGGAGAACTCAGCAACGTTGAGCCAGCAGAAGCGCAAGTTGGCGCGGTTGAAAGACGCGTTGACAACACTCATAGCCAAGTACAACCAGACGGATGCGCGTGACCGACATCAAAACGAGGAGCTGACAGAAGAATATCGACGTCTGACGAAGCAGTACCGCGATTTACAGATGAAATACGCACACTTCGAGGCCAGCGATAGCAGCAAGTTTGACGAAGTCTGGCAGATGCACGAAGAGGAGGCGATACATACAATCGAGAAGCTGTTAGATGCTGACCGCATTATCCACGAGCAGCAACTCGGACTCATGTGGCGGCCACCTGTGCAATCGATCCGAAACTGGAGTCATTCAGCCAAAGCAGGCGATGCCGCAGCACTTCAAAAGCAGCTCGAAAACGGAGACGAGTCGTCACCCGATGCCACTGAGACCGACAAAAGCGGCAACAAGAGAGACGATAATGGAGGAAATGCTGATCTAGACGACTATGATGACGAGTCGGTTGAAGCGTACACTCCTCCAGTCAAGAAAATATCTGGTGCCAAGTTGAAATACATGCTGAAAATGCTGGCCTCTGAGGCTGGGTTCTTGGTTAACGGCAGTGTTCAACAAGCTCTCGATAATCTTCCTAATGACGAGGCTGAACTGGTGAAAGCGGACATGATCATGCGAGCGCTTGGAGTGGACAACGAAGATGACATGGAGAAGCTGATGGGGTATTTCTTCGAGGATCCGCGGCAAGAAGTACCAGACAACAGTAAGGACAACAATTCCCCGGGTCAAGATGGTTTGATGGCGTCGTGGGGTCTCGTGGTTGGGCCAGAGGACGTCATCCGAGTTATTAAGCAGTTTGTTGAGGTTCGTGTCCACGTTTCCTTAATTTAATCCCTGTAGGAGAACTTACTTAGGTGTCTGTCATAAACAGGAGATGAATGAGCAGAAGCGAGCTGCTCCGGTGACTCGAATCCTGCAACGATCAACGAATAGTGAGCCTGAAACGTTAAACAAGAACAGCAAGAAAACCAGCTCAGCAGCGCTGAAGGCTAAAGCGCGAAAGGCGGAGAAGGAATACTGGCAGAACATTGTCAAGGTCTTCCCGGCACAAAAGATCCGCATTATGGCTACACTTGAGAAGGGTCTGACCCACTACAACACAGCACTTCTGCGACGTAAAGAGCTCATCAACGATGTGACTGCCATGAAGGCGCAGAATGCAGAGCTCAAGAGCCTCCTCAAACAGTACCTGGCCGCTCCGATTAACGAGGACCTCATTGTGCCGCCCACGCAGATGCAGCTCTACCAATGATAGTTCCTGTAGTTGAAGTGGGAGGATCGTACCTAAACGAAATGGCTACATGATACTCATTTTTTTTTTTTCGGAACTCTTCGACGTGATGGCACGAATTGGCTACGTCGCGCTCTTCTTCGTGAGCGCTGCGTGCGCTGGTCTGCTGCGCACCTTTGGTCAGAGTAATGCCGTCACTCTCTCCTCGCTTGTCACTCTCTGTATGAGGCTGAAAATTGCATTTACCGGTTGAAATTGTCACTTTATTAGATATTCTATCGAGATTCGGGGTCTTTGACGAGTGCGATGACTCGCCGTTCCCGAGCAATTGCGTTGGCAACCAGCTCGTCTACCGCATCAGTTTCAGTCTGGGCTGCTTCTTCTCACTCACCGCGTTGCTGAGCTGTGCGGTGGCCAAGGGCTGCGAGAGCGTATGCTGCATGCTGCTATTCCAGCTACCCTTTTATCTTGGCATTCTCCTGGCCTCACTCTTCATCCCCAATGGTAGGTCGTGGACTCAATACGAACAAAGTGAACGGAATTAACGAGTTTGCTGTTTGTTTTGCAGATTTCTTTGATGGCTACGTGGACATTGCGCGGGTGTCGTCGGCGCTCTTTATCACCCTGCAGATCATCATCATCTTGGACTCGACTTGTAGGACGTGACGATGTGCTAGTTGCCCAATAGATACTGACTGCTAGTTGCATTGCAGACAGCCTTCGGGACTATATATTGGAAAAGATGGACGAGGCAGATCGCGACGATGACGCTCGACATGCACTGCTGGGCAGCAGTTTTGACTCGACACAAGGGGACGGAAGGAAGACCATGTGGTGAGACCGCTGCATGGAGAAAGATGTAAAAAGTGAAACACTAACGCCTTTTTGCCACAGGGAGGGAGCGTATCTTGCTCTGGTTTTCATCTGCATGGCTCTGTCAATCGTAGGACTCGCCTTGATGTACATGCGCTACGCAGAGTGTGAACTGAATGCCATGTTCATCACGATCACGCTGTTGTCGGTGATCATTCTCACAGCGCTGAGCGGTACGCATCGTTACTAAAGGAATTCCTTACTGTCTCTCTAACATATCCATTTGATGGTACGTATAGTTGTGGCATGGGTAAATGTGGGGCTCCTTCCATCGACTGCGGTCTCCCTGTACCTCGTGTTCTTGTGTTACCAGACAGTTCGAGCAAACCCAAGCGCGTCGTGTGCACCATTGCAAATATCAACCGAAGAGAAGCTGCACGAGCAATCGAGTGTGATCATGAACGCGTTCGTTGCAGCGTTCACGATCACGTGGACGAGTTGGCGAACTTCAGCGACCAGTACAGTGTTTTTCGGTTCGTCTTCTACACAGAAGCAGCTTGAAGACAATAGTGATGAAGGCGATGAGGAGCTAGCAAGTATCGGATTGACATCAGTTCGTTTAAATAAGGAAGGTCAACCTGAAGTGGAGGTGGTACCTGAATACCAATTCCACGTGCTGATGGTACTGGCGTCGCTATATATGGCGATGGTCCTCACAAACTGGGGGAGCTTCGATGGGTGAGGTTCCTTGTCCACGTTGCATCATTTGTAGTAGCTCACAGTCCTTTGGTTGCCCAGATCTTCGTCGAATGATGACGAGATTGTGACGATGTGGGTCAAGGCGGTCTCACAATGGGTAGCATCCGGACTATTCCTTTGGACGCTTGTAGCTCCTGCGGTGTTTCCCAATCGCGATTTCTTGTAAGTGCTATCGAACGCGCACGATAAATGCATATAACGTCACCTTGTTCTATGGTTTTCGCTTGTAAACAACGTTCTCATTTAAGTGCAAGCTGAATAATGGAGCGGGACGGTCTAACCCAGCACTTACCTGAGTTATTCCGTTCTGCATTCATCCAATTCACACACTACGTGAATCAATTCGTAACCCCAATCTGACAATACGCACTAGGACATGTAGTTCCGACACTAAGCAACTTAACCAAAACCTCAAGGTCACGTTGGGCTCTCTACGTCATTTTCGGCTTCGAGGGTCAACACGCTGTCGTTTTCGACGTCCGGAACCTGTGCGCGCTTTGCCGCCACCCCCTGTTCCCCCTCGATGCCTGTTTGATGTTGCCTTCACCACTCGAAGCTTCTGACCTCCACACAATGATCCGTCCAATGTTAGCAGCGCCTCATGAGCCTGCATCTCGTTAGTGAACTCCACCATGTACCCAGACAAGTCAGAGCTAGCAGCGTCATCCTTCGCAAACGACACGACCCCAGGACAGTCCTGTAGAGCGCTAACCAGCGTAACAAGCTCCAGTGGTTCGTTGGTTGATACGTGAATACAAGAAGACGTCTGGCTACTGCAGCTGCTGTTGCCATCCTCCACATCCATTTGCTCAGACGACGAGCGCGAGGAGCGTGGCTTGGGAGGTCCAGCAAGCGAATCACTCACTCTAACCCCGTTGAAGCCATTCTCAGCGACAGGAAATGCCATTTCTTGCTCTGGTGCGCACGAAAACGGATACTGGGGCACCCCGCCTTGGTAATACGGGCCGGCATCCATCCATCCAGACGGATTTCCTCCAAAACCTTGGTGCTGCGGTAGTTGATGATAATTCCCCGATCCTCCGAAGTTTGCATAGGGTTGAAAAGGTTGCTGTGGAGGCGGAGGTGGAGGTGGAGGATACGCCACCAGTTGCATCGGATAATATTCCATACCTGGGTGTGTCCCGTGAAAGCCACCGGAATGCGGCGGATACACGTCTCCTGCCATCGGCGATACTTGGTCACTCGGTGCTGCTCCTCTAGGTGACGGCATGGAAGAGTAGTGGTGGAAATACTGTCCCTCTCTGGTGTAAGGATACTCAGTGCTTCGCATCAAATGCGCGAAACGGGCCTCGACAGCGCGCAAATCGACATCTTCGGATGATCCAGTTACAACACGTTCGTCTGTTGTGTGATCGAGTCGCATGGACTCGTTGGTGCCGAGTGAATTGCTACCATGGGTGGTGGTAAACAGACTTGGTGCCAGAATCACTATCGCCTGTAAGAACTTCCCTGAACCGAGAGGCAGCTCCATTTGGTGGAGTTGAAGTGCTGCCTGTGCAGCGTTCGCCTCGCTATCAAACTTCACGAACGCCACTCCTTGAGCCTCACCAGTACTCTTAACGACCTTGATGTCCATAAATTCCATCCCCGAAAAGGACGACACAACGGAGGATAGCATATGTGTCGCCAAGAACCGATCGTACAGCAGCAACACCCAGAGACGCTCTTTCCCAGCAGAGGACATGGATGCGGACGTGGTGGACGCTGGTTTGTTCGTTGGAGCGAGACTGGAAAATAAATCGGAAGAGCAATCTAAACCTCTGTTCGCGTGGAGCTGTGCTGGTTTGGCTTGGTGCTGCAAATGCACGTCGCGTGTATCGTGTGCGAACGATAGCTGGTAGGTAGTAAACAAGGAATAAGTTTTAGTTAGCAGCTAGCGTGACGTACTTGCACATAGTACTTCGAAGTACTTGAAGTTGACATACCGTCATGAATTCCGGCCGTTCTGGGTCTTCATCAGCCTGATACGTTTCTTCTCGAAAAGACTTGACCACGAATGCTGCAGTATAAGGCTACACACTCGTACTCCACGTCAGACCCGTGTCCTCAGTATCTCAGTTCCTAACAGCATTCACGTTACCTTTGAATAACGGATGTACGCCATGGTTTTTACGCGTCCAAAACTTTTGACGAGCTCCGCTGACTCAAAATTACCATATACCGCAAACATCGCTTCAAGCTCCTGCTCTGTGAACTGTGGCAACAAGAACAAATGTCAGAGGCACTTCACAGGGAATACAAACCCCACAAAAATCGAGCTCTCGCACCTTATACGTGGACGTGAAAAACAATTTAGTCCGTGTCGGCTCAGCTGGTTCCGATTTGAGCTCGAGTTTTACGTCCCGATCGTGTCCGTAGCTTGTATCTACATCAGCAATACTAGGTCGTCCAGGCCCTCGATCTACGATGCCACCATCAAGATCTCGTCTCTCCTGCGTTGCCTGCTGCTTGGCTAGTCGATACGGCTCCTCTATTGCGTTATCCGGCGACTGTCGCTTACAAAGTTTCTTCGATATTATCTCGGCTTTCAGGTCGTCTGGTGACAGGCTAATGTCACTTCGGTCGGACAGTTTTCTCGGCGGGGACAAGAGTTGAGTATTGGCTCGGATCTGGGCTTTGATCGTTGGAGGAGGTGAGTTTGTGGTGTTACTGCGTTTACGGCGGCCGTCAGATCCGTCTTCTGCATTGGAATCGCTGCCATCCAGACTCTGTCGCCGTCTGCGTAGATGATGTTTAGAGCGGGGTGGTGACATGACAACATCTTCTCTTGGTGTCACTCTTGGTGTGCGCAATGTAGCAAACGGAGACCCTCGAGTGGTCATTGGCGTGGAAGCCAGCGACACGGACCGAATACTGGATGCTAGTGACTCGGTCGTGTTTTCTTCTTCGTCTTTTGATCCCGGAACAACGACACTTAAATTGCCTCCACGTCTATGTTTACTCTCTCGATCAGACACCACTCCGTAAGCAGCAAATAGTTCACTGCTCGCTTTGTTCTGCGTTTCGGTTTGCTCCACTGTAAGAAGCATTGCAAACATCACTTGCTCCACTTGTTTCAGGTCCACATCAGGCTGCATCGATTCGTCCTTGCACACTGGCACAGTCGGTAATGACAGTTGACCAGCAATCACAGTATCTCGTCCAAATCCCTCCAGGCAGCGGTTCTCCGGTAGCAAAGCTGGCGTCACTCGACTCGGGCCAAGTGGGAGAGCGGAAACAGGCGGCCTCGACCGCTGTCTCTTCCCAGGAAGCCGTGCATCGATGCCCCCGTCATCTTCTCCAACTCCTCCCTCAGTTTGATCGTCCAGATCCTGTCGCGCGTGCTGATCCCGCTTCAATTTGCCGTTGCCACCCACTGGTCGCTCCTTCGCGACTGTCACCTATAGCAACCAGCAGCAATATCAGCATATCTTTTCAGTAATAGCATTAGACAGCAATGCGCCCACCTTGAGGATGTGTCCATCTTCCAGCTTCATGTGATCCAACTTGTCGATTGCTGCGGCAGCATTGGCCGGGTCTTCATACTGTAAGAAGGCGAAACCCTGTATAAGCACGTCAGAAAACAGCAATAGGAGCGTTACGACAACACACTAAAGCCAAGTGAAGCAGCCGTCGTACCCGCGACTTTTTACTCCGATCCAGCGCCAAATGGAGGTGTTTAATAGCTCCACACGTCGAGAAGAGCGCACGCAACTCGTCCACTTTACGGTCGCGTCCACAGACAATGAACAGGCGAGATAGCTCTGCGCGCCGAGAATCTACAGTGGCAGACGTACTGGTGGCTGATATCTTGGACGCGGCGGAGGCTGCGCGGCCGCCACCTTGGTCGTCCATGCGAAGTTTTAGTGTGACAAAGCACGATTTACGAATAAGCTCCACAATTTAACGATATTCTATGTATTACACAAAATTTCCGCCGGTCGTAAGGTTGTACCCATGTTGCCGATCCTCGTACTGGTCTCGACAATGAAGATGTCAGTGCATGTATGTATGCACCTTTGTGCGACGGCCGCCATAATATATTGTGTGTGCAAGACAATCTGGCCACAGTCGACCCCCGTTGCAGCCAATTGAAGGTGCAAGGTGTTCGCAACGTGGACCATACCTACTGAGATTGCTCAGCTTGCGGCTTGCGACTTCAACGCAAAGAAAAAAATTGAGATGGGCATCGGTGCCGTTCTAAATGACATTTGAGCATGTAAATGCTATGCCACTGTCTGCCTTCCAGTCATTTTTTTTCCTGTGATCAGCGATATCTTCTCGATTCTGTCGGTACGAATCCAAAAGAGTATCTCTCGACAGTTAACTAGTGTGTCAAGTATGGAGCACTCCTGTTGCAGGGGTAGATAAGATTGGTGTCGTGAATATCCGATAGCCAAGACCACATACACGTCGTGATTTGATACATGTAGCTTCTGGATGTATTCTGTCGAGGTTGCATTCGCCACGACTATTATAATAATACATCTAATTCCTCCAGCAAAAAGCAACAATAGAACTTCTCAGTTTTGAGGAACTGCGACGTAGTACTACTTCGTATTGACTAATCTTATCAAGCTGTAAAGAAATGATGTCGTGTGCGGAGAAACGAAGATTTATTACTCTCGGAGAGCTTACTGGTTGGTCCAAGAGCTCACAGAGCAAGTTACCAATCACTGAATACCTGAAGCGTTCAAGAAGAAGCACATGCGACCTAGAGTTAGTTCAGTGGACTCGACAGCAAAAACTCATGAAGGCGAGTTCATTGGTCTGCATTTCAAGGAGAAGAAGCATGACCGGAAGTGGCAGATTTTCAATCTAGCACGTCGGTTGGGTGCAGCTGTATCTGCATGCGTTTATGTCTATGCTTCGATGACGGCTACGTGGTGGGCACTTCATGTGCTCGGTGGTGCGCGAAATCCTACAGAAACTCTGCGAGTGTTCACGTCGTCGCTCATCAAAGATTACGTCGGGGATGGATTAATCAGCAGCAGCTCCCTGGTACTCGATGTACTTGGAAACGATACGACACCACGAGACTACGTGTTATACCTCGAATCCAGCACGAACACCTCCACAGACGGCTGTAATGGACTACCTCATTTTGACACGGCAATATACAGCTACGACTTCCTCTCACAAGGATACGAAGACATGGTTTCCTCGATTAAGTACAATGTCACCACCCTCGCGGATTTGGAGCTTGTGATCGTGGTGGTGGATTGCTCTTTCAGTCAACTCGAGGCAGGGGATCCATCCGAAGTACGAGTCTACAATTTGGTGCGATCACGTAATGACATCAGCAACTTGTACTTGGTGACAGTGTCGCTATCTGTACAAGAATACGAGCAGCGCGATCATAACAAACACGGACCCGCGGTGCTGGGTATGCTCACTCTCATACATGACATGCAAGACCAGGATGTGACTCAATACTACATGGCAGCACTGACGTATCCTTACAAACGGTCTCCAGATTTTCAAATGTACGAAGTGGTGGGAATTACAGACGAAAGCTACCTCTCCTTGCATAGTATTCCTCGGGAGCCTGGAACGGAGCCTGTTAAGCACATACTCACGGCTCGGAAGCGAGGATTCTATAATGGTGACAGCCAGCGCAATGTCCGTACGATGTATTCACTTCTCGATGGAGTAAATGCGACGAATGCACTAACACGCTGGGAATGGGTAGGCGAGGCGGTAACTATCGATTCTTGGGCCTGGGTGCATTGTGTTCACTTCTTCTTCAGCTTGCAAGTAATTTACTCCCTGGTCGTTCTGTTCCTAGTAACCTACCAGAAGATACGATCAGGCAAGCTCTGGTTGGGAGACCCTTTTGCGTCGCTTTCGACTGCAACTCTCGTTATGCGGGGTGTATTGGTGCTGATCTCATGGGCTATGAACTCTTTCTGGTCCATCAACGAGTTTGCAATGTCGAGAGCCGCAATGATCACGGGCTCATCACCTGTGTTGGTTCACAAGGAGCTGATGCACGCCGACCTGTTTACCATTTACTTTTGCTTGGTAGGCTTTATGAGCGCCGTGGTTCGTGAGCGGATTGACCCGACATTTGCCACCCTGTTGTTCGAGATGGTGCACCAGAATCGGCAGAAGATTATTCACCTCTCTTCAGGGGTGATAAGAGTGATGTCGACCTATTCTGAAGCGCAGTACAACATTGGTATTGCTAAGGTGACGCCCTTGCTCGCCGAAATGTCACCGCTACGTCTGTGGTCTTCATTTCAGCTCCCTGAAAAAAGTCCTAAATTCCTCTCGGCATCTTTCAGCCCGATGATATTTCTCCTGTCTAGTGCTACGGTATTCGCAATTCTACGCAAGATTTACCGTTTCTTTAGACCCGATAAGATTCACCAGAGGTCGAGTGTGAGCACAGACACGTCCGCAAACGAGAGGGCTGCGCAGGGGGGAACAGCCACCAACTTCGAGATCTCGACTGGCGCCATGCTTCAGACACGTTTCGGTCTCGTTTCTGACTACAACAATTACGTTTTCTTCAAAGGCATGAAGTTTGCGTCGGCAGACGGAGTCTATTGCGCAGGATACGTGATCGTAAACGAAAAGTATTTGGTGAGCTCGAAGGACCTGTTGGCGATCGTGATGATCAAACTGTTGCGTGCCCGCTTCGCGAATATCTACGTGTATGAGGTGCACGGCCACAAAGTGAAGGACACGGCTAGATTGGTATTCCCTGCAACGTTCATGTGGTCTGACCTATGGCGGTTGAACGTCACAGTGCTCCTTTGAGCTGATACTAGATAACGGCGAGGCAATAGTAAAATGAATTAGAATCCTACTTGTCTAGAGATGGCTGCTTAATGTTCAATACCCCCAGGCATAGCTGGCAAACGACAGATGACCCATTTCCCATCCACCAAAAAGTTTCTCCGCCGCAGGTTTGTTCTCCTCCATGCCGGCACCAGCAGCAGTGACAAATGGAACGAAGTGGTCGGGTGTCGAAGGAGCGTTAGGCCAGTCTATCATGTGAGCTTTACGTTCGCTATAGCTCAGCCTGGACTCCGGAGTGAGTGTGTTGTCGAGCCAGCCTTGGAACGCCGCTGCCCACGGCATGAGCGGGTTCGTGAGGTCTCGGTTAGCGCGCATGGTCCTTCACTTTCTGAGCGAAAGCAGGGCCACCCTCAGCAGGATACACGACATCGTAGGTCTCGTGGAAACACGTAGTAGTCGTAGATCATCTCGGGCTTGGCAGCATTGGAGATCTCGAATCCGCTACTTTCAGATTCCCAGTGTGTAATTTCGAACAGGATGCGTTTGGGAAGGTTCTCGTCGTTGGGTATAGCTTTTCGTAGGTGGTGGTCAGTGTTCGGGCGGTAGGCAGCTGTTGCTCATGCCAGCGAATCCCGAGGATAGCAGCCACAGCGGACCGGGTCCGTGCGAGACAGCAACGACGGGGTGGCGGAAGACGGTCATGATCTTGGATAATGCACTTGATCCGTATGCCCTAGGAACTTCACCAGTTCACTGAAAGGTAAAAGAAGGAATGAATTAAATCGTTAGCTTCACTACACCTCAGCTCAACGTTCTTTTGCGACCTGCAGTCGCTTCCCATGCATTGGCCTGGCACCATTTGTCTTCACTATACCGCATAGCGCCTTTGTGCTCAACTCAGTTGTGCCAGGTCCCGTAGTTTGACCATCCGTCTCGTACTTCACGTTGACTCTGGTCCTAGATATGAATCTGGATTCCAACACGCCTCCTTCGAAGCATCAGCTTTGACTACTTTGCATCTCCGATACCAACACTGGCAACCAGATTCTTGAGACGCACCTTGTCGAGCGCCTTCGTAAAAGCATCAGCAGGATTCTCATCCCCTTTGACCTTATGTAGATTCAGCACTCCACGTTCCACTTGTTCACGCACGTAATGCCAACGCAACTCAATGTGTCGAGTGCGGCGACTGTAGGTAGGATTCGTAGCTAGAACGTGTGCAGCTTGGTTGTCAATACCAATGCATAGTTCCACAGTGTGGTACGGGGGAATTTCCTGTAAGATGTTACTCTCTGCAATCGCCTCCATAGCAGCCTCACATGCAGCCACATACTCAGCTTCAGCAGTGGACAAGGCTACAATGAACTGTCGTCTCGATATCCACAAATTGGCACCACCAGCCGATGTGAAGACGAATCCTGTCGTGCTTTTCCGAGTTTCTGGGTCATTTGCCCAGTCAATGTCACAATGTCCTTCGAGTACTATAGCCTTCGACTTCATCTCTTGTCGATCGTAGGTTATTCCATAGTTCACAGTACCCGCAAGATAGCGTAGGGCACGTTTTAATGCACCAACGTGCTTACTTGATGGGTTTGCCACCAATCTACTCAACTGGCGCAGTGCAAATGCCAGATCAGGACGTGTACTTGTTGCCAAGTACATCAGCATACCCACAGCTTCACGGTACGGGAAACTAGTGTCGCTAGTCTCGCCTTCCTCCAACGAGACAAACCGGGCCTTCACTTCCATGGGATTTCCCACAGCATGAGCTTCACCGTAGCCAAACTTCTCCAAAATTTCGTGTGTATACTTTGTCTGAGTGCTTGTAACCTGCTCCTCTGTCTGATGAACCTCAACCACAAGATATGAAGTCAATAGTCCTTGGTCCTTGAGTCCATACTCTCGGTCCAATGCTTCAAACAACACATTCTTGCTTTCCTCATCCTTGCTCGCTACCACAATATCGTCCACATATACAAGGACAAGTATAACATCTTCTCCATCAATGCGATAATACAGACAGGGCTCGGTTAACGATCGTAGATATCCACGAGCAAGAAGCCACTGGTTAATCTCAGTGTTCCACTCACGCCCTGACTGCCTCAACCCATACAACGCTTTGATCACCACATACATGTGGCCATCCACTTCACACGGAAATCCGTCAATTGACTTCACGTACTGCAGGATTCCAAGTAGTGCATTGAGATATGCCGTATCAACACCCCCTCCGTAGAGCTTCAGGTTCAGAGCCGCAGCTAATGCCACTAAAAGCCTAAAAGAAGACATTCGCGCCACCGGCGAGAACGTATCAGTGAAATCCACTCCTGGTCTCTGGTAGTTGCCAAGAGCAACTAGTCGAGCTTTGAAGCGAATCACAAAACCCTGAAAATCCGACTTCACACTATAGACCCAGCGTGTCTTGATAGGCTTAGCATCCTTCGGAACATCCTCGAACGCAATCTCCTCCAGAACTCTACGTCGTTTCATTGCTAACATCTCTGCCAGTTCGGCTTCACGCCAATAGTCACGGTACTTGCTTCGCATAGCTTCGCGGTGGTTGCGTGGAATCTGGACATCACTTGCTCGTATAGGACGTCCGTTCTCATCCAGTACACGCGACGTATTCTGCACCGCGTTGACTACATAGTCATCCAAATACTTAGGCCGACGACGTTCGTGATACTCACGCAGACCAGTTCGAGTTCGCTTCGGACCTTCATGTTCCGCACATTTCTCCACACTACCCATTTCCGAGCTAGTTTCGTCTCGTTGGCGCTTGCATACCAACCTCTCGCACGTACTGGCAACGGTGACATTGTCATCATCTTCACTGAGTTTCTCGTCAACGTCAACCAGCATATCTCTGTCTTCATCGGCTACAAGATTCGTTTCATTCACAACCGAATCAGAAAGGTTTTCACTTGCGTGTAGTCCTTCAATGCCCACTTCATATGAACTCCCATCAGCATTAACCTCCAATGAACCACACACGCTGACAGCAGACTCATTATCACCTGCCATTTCAGGTTTCGTGCATCCATACACTGTCGTAAGTTTCGCTGATTCTGAGTCGTCAGAATTCACACCGCTATTCTGTACAAGATCATCACTCTGGTCTTGGCATTGTTCACTCTGCATTGCAGTCAGTACGCTAGGTAAACCCGCCGTCACCCCTTCAACATCCGGAACACACGGAGGTTCAGTCACTGTGTCCCCAATTTCTTCCAGTCCTGTCCAACTTGCAGACGCTCTTGACGGTAATGACGCTTGTTGCGCCTCCCTAAGCTCCGTCATCACCTCATCTCGCTCGTCAACTCGTTCCGCAGTATCGTCATTATCATTATCGCCTCTCTCGAGGTCTTTGGTCGCTTCGAGCGTGGCCTCGCTCATCATCGGAGCAGCGTTCGAGTTGCAGACTGACTTCACTCAGATCCATAGACTCGTAAAGCGTTGAGTTTTCAGTACTCGGCTCCATGCGCTTCGTAAAGTGCAACGACTCCAAGTCGTCGTCCTCCAAATCCACTCCATGACGATCTCGATACATCACGTCTTCACTAATGCGAAGATCCGATACGAATTTAGCTGTACGATCATCAGGAAAGTAGACTTTACAACCCACGGTATCTTCAGCATAACCGAGCACAAAGCCCAGTCGTGCGTTATCATGGTGCTTCTTCCGACCTGGTGTCACTGGTACATGCACATATGCAAGCGAACCAAACTTGCGGATGTGATGAAGGTCGGGTTTAATCCCAAACATCATCTCGTAGGGAATGCTCTGAGTTCCCTTATTGTAGGCTCTGTTCTTGATGTACACTGCGTTACGCAGCGCCTCAGGCCACAGACTAACAGGGAATCCAGCATCATGCATCATCGACTTCGTCATCTCCACGAGAGATTGATGCGTCCTCTCGCAAAGGTTCAGCTGTGAACTCTTTGGACCCACCTTCACATGCTCGATGCCGTGCACTCCGTACCAGTTATCCATTGCTGTATTAACGAATTTACCACCTTTGTCTGTCAAGGCTTGGTGTACTCTGTACTTCACTCGAATAGGGCCATCCTGCTGACGACCAGCTTGTCTTTCAGCCCAGAGCACGTATTCTTTCATGTGCTGGTTCACTACCTCGCTCGACTTGCTAGTCAACATGTGAGCTCTCACAAAGCGAGTGTACCCATCCATGAGTATGAGAACAGCCTCGAACCTAGTGCCTTTAGTTTTACTAGGTATCAGTAAGTCAGCATTTATCACTTGGTTCGGAGTCTTTGTGTTGCGATCCAGCTTCTTCCAGTGTCTTTGCTGCTTCTGCTTGCCGATATGACAGGCGTCACAAGTTCCTAGCTCTCTCTGCCTTAGCATCATGTCACGAACGAGGTTCTTGTCGACCATCGTCTTCAAGTATTGTGGACACACATGCCCCAATCGCTCGTGCCAAGCTTCAAAGACGTCACCCCTTCAGCAACTATAAAATTGCACAACGGCCGATCCTGTAAACTGTTAAATCCGTTTATGGATGGATGACTCGCTTGAAACCTCCAAGTTTCATCCTCCGGCGTTGCTACAATTACAGTATCGTCGTGTTCATCTCTCACGCGAAAGCACCTCAATTGTCCATAGTAATCAAAATCAAAACCTTGTGTCGTAGCTAATCCAACTGATAGCAGGCCATGTGTAGCACCAGGAATGTAAAAGACATCACTTAAGTACACTGCCTTCCGCTCGCCTTCAACTCCAGTTATTAGCTCTACAGCTCCTACTCCAGCCACTCGAGATGCCAACGCAGGCGTAACTCCATGTACATGCTGAGACTGATTCAAATCCGGCGTAAACGTCACGTAATACCACGGATTTCCCGTCACGTGCACGTTAGCGGCCGTATCGAAGTACCACCACCCACTACTGGTGTCCACTTCCTGTTCGTCAAGTTCGAGGCCGTCGTACCACCAGGTAACAGTAGCATCAGCTCCACTACCTCCTGCCTCTTTCTCCTCGTTTGAACCCGCTTCATTCTCTTCGCTGTTCTGCGCCAGCAGTCTGGCGTCGATCAGTAGAGCGTCCAAAGCGTCCATCACTTCTTCTGATACTTTTTTCTGTATCTGAGTCTAATGACTCACCGTGGTCCACACGAGTAATCACATTTGCACGTGCCTTCTTCTTCTGCTCGCTTCCAGCAGCGGCCCCGTCTTGGTTCTTCACCTTCAGCGGACCCTCCGAAATATTTTTTTTAGGTGTTCAGTACTGTCGCAAACAAAGCACTTTTTCACCTTCTTCTTTGTGTCTTTAGACTTCTCAGGTTTTTCACGTTTTTGCCCATTACCATCGGCCGTCTGCTTATCACCACTACCGCTTTTCTGGCTTGAAAAACTCTCTGTCGAGAGTTGGCGACACGAATAAGCTCTCGAGTCCGCTCTGGAGCGATGTATGTGTCAGCACAATTGTACCGAACACCACTCTTCAAGCTCTCAAACTCGTACGTGTGCGGTAGACTGTTCAGCATTAACTCCACCATCGCGGTGTCGTCAAATTGATAGTTGAGAGACAGCAGCTCCGTCCGCAAGTTGAACATCTTACTCAGGTGCTTGTTGACGTCTCCGCCCGAGAACAGCTTGAGCATATCAAGCTCG